AGTGGCATTGCTGGTAATGAAAGTGCTGATTCTGCTGCCAAACTGGGACATCACCTGCATCACTCTGCCTTGTTCCCTCTACCTTGCTTGAATGCCCTTGCTGTGCTTCAGACAGGCTTCCTTAATTTTTGGGAGTTGGATTGGGTTTCTGCGATGGCTACTGATGAACGGGGTTCAACTTGCTTCCATTTGTTCAGGATTGTCTCCTATCCCATGGATTACTTGTCATTCTCACTATGTTTCAGTTGTTTTAACTTACCTTTGTATGGGACATGTTGGAGTCCATTCTTACCTTCATCGATTTGGGATGGCCGACACTCCCATGTGTCTGCATTGTAGTGTTGAAGAAACAGTTGAACACTTCCTCCTGATTTGTGCCCAATACGTCCGTGGGAGACATGTGTTTTGGGAGGAATATCCATGTTCAATCATTGAATTGGGTAATTCTCTTGAAATATAATTTATCACTTCCACAGAACTAAAAAAGTTGTTGCACAATGATGCAAGGCCCACACAGGTTTCTTAGTGAGTTCACAACCTCCATTGTGCTGAGATCATACAGGGTAACTGTTAACAGTTGGAACCTTGTAATTATCTCATCTTGGTGTGGAGACATCTCTCAGTAAATTTGCACAGCAGTAATTCTTTGGCTGGGACAATACCTGCTGAGCTGTAGCATGGTGAATTGTTATTTAGTATTACTACTGTCCCCCTGATTATCCTATTATGCTCCTCCAAGTATAAGAAGTGGGTTTCTACATTGGCGGCTAATGGAAAGAGCCATTATCTTGCTGCAAGGTTGCCAGTCATAGTGTAGTGGCTTTGATTTGTCTTTGTCTGGCTTATGTTAGGGGTGGTTCATATCTTATCTTTTTGACATGGCTTATATTCCTGTCACATGTGCCTTCAATTAGCCATTAAAGATTTAATAGAAAACTTCTCCTTAGTGTTGAATATTATTTTGGTCAGCAGGTATCAAGTATGTGTGCCTCTTGCATTGCTTACATGTCTGTGCTGTGCTTTGCTTTGTGTTATTGTTGTTGTTGATGTTCCCCGAGCCCTGGTCACGCCAGGAAGCCCACGCCACGCAAGAAAGCCGCCACCAGAGCCGGCTGGGACCATAACTGCGCAATGGATGTTATGCCTGCCCGGAGCCTGGGTGCTGCCAGCTATGGGCACTCCAGCAGAAGATGCTTGATGGTGTGGGAGAGTGCTTGACATTGGGGGCACAGGTCCATTTGAGTGCTGTCCAGGTGATGTTTGTAAGAGTTTAGTGAGGAATGGTGACTGCAGCGGAGTCTGCTGAGGTGCACCCTGTCTGCACAGCTCAACTGCTGTTCTGTATGGCTGATGTCTGGCAGTATGTCATCAATTATGCTGTTGATTGGTAGATTTAAGAGTGCGTTCCAGGTTAGGTGTGTGTGTATGTGTTTAATGAAGTTGGCTGGGTCTGTGGGCGGAGGTATGGAATTAATTATTGTGAGATAGTAATTGTATGGAGTGTTGGCAATTTATCTGGGTGAGGGGGGTAGGTACTGAAAGTAATGGCAGGTACTGAGGGGGTTGTGGAGTGCTGATGCAAGGAATTGGGTGCCTCTCATGTCTAGGTATTCTTTCATAGAGAGGACTTTGGTTTCTGCATGGACATGACTGGATGGTGTGGTTTGGGTGCTGCCAATTGTGATTCTGAGGGCTGTGTTTTGTATGGTTTGTAGGTGTTTGTGAAGTGTGGGTGAAATTATGGGTACCCAGGCTGGACTTGCATAGTCTAGCACTGAGCGTATGTATTGTTTGTACACTAGTGTGAGGGTTTCTTTGTTCTGTCCGAATGTTCTTCCTGTGAGGGCTCTGAGTGTGTTTAGCCTAGGTCTGCATTTTGTTTTGATGTCCTGTATGTGTGGCCTGAAAGACATAGAAGTGTTGTAAGTGACACCTAGGATCTTGGTATCATGTGTGTGTGGTATGATGGTGTTTAGAGTGACTGTGGGTCTGTGTTGATACTCCTTTGTGTGGCTTGTTAGTAGTGTGCTTGTTGATTTGGTGGGGGCTACTTTGAGTCTGTTGCGTGCTAGCCAGCCCCTAGTTGTGTGATGTAAGGTTGTACTTGTGTAGAGCATGTGTTAGCATTGGTGTGTGTTGATGTAATTGTGATGTTGTCTGCGTAAGACAAAATGTGAATGTTGTCTGGTGGGGCTGGAATGTTGTGCATGTAAAGGTTTAAAAATGTTGGTGAGAGGACTGATCCTTGGGGTACTCCATTCGGTATGTTTTTTGTATGTGATATGCCATTGTAGTGAACAAATGACTGTCTGCCTGTTAAATAGTTGGCAAGCCAACGTTTGGTGTTGTTATGTAGTGTTGTTTTTATAAATTTTGTCTGTGAGTGGGAAGCGTGGGATGGCATCAAATGCTTTGCTAATGTCAATTGTGATCAGAAGTGTGCAATGTGCAGGTCGCTTGGAGTTAATGCCATCTTGTATACGTTGTGTTAGGTTAGTGAGGAGTGTGGTGGTGGAGTGATGGGTTCTGTAACCGTGTTGTGTGGGTGAGAGGGGAATGTGAGGCGTGGTTATGGAGAGTATGAGGTGCTCTAACACTTTGGATGATGTGCAGAGGAGTGTAATGGGCCTGTAGGAGGCTGCCTCAGTGGGGGGTTTGTTCGGTTCGGTTTCAGGAGAGTTATGATTTTGCCAGTTTTCCAGTTTAAGGGTATGATGCAGTTGGAAAAGAAAAGTTGACTATATTTGTGAGAGTGATGATACCATGCGGGCTGAGGTGTTTCAGATGAATGTTTGAGATGTCTGGCCCCATGGCTTACGAATTTTTGAGCTGTTTTATGACGCGTGAGGTGTCTGATGCTGTGGCTAGGATGTAGTTATTTGCTAGTGGAAATTTGTGTTTGCGCCTGTAAATTTGTCTGTCTGCCCTGTGCTTGGGTAGGTGACTGATGCTGGCATAATAATTTATCAATATGTTGGACTGTTATTTGCGGGCAGGAAGGGATGGTATCCAAGGAGGTAATTGCCGAGTGAGATGGGGTGAGTCCACTGTTGGAGTTAGTGAGGCTGTGGATTGTTCTATATAGTTTGGAGGAATCGGTCCTGTGCTCTAGTGTCACCACAAACTCTCCCCAGCGTTGCTTTTGTCTGTTCCTTATAGAGGTTTTGATTTGTTCATTCAGTTCGTGGATGTGGTCTGTAGTTGCTTGTGAGTGTGGTGTTGGTGTGCATTGTAGGTTGTTGCGTGTTCTAATGAGACTGGAGATATCAGGTGTGAAATTAGGGTTGTAATTTTTCCTGTTTCCCTTAGGGACATATTTCTTATCAGCTTCGGCGATGATGGTGTTGAAGTGGGTGAGGGTGTGGTTGATGTAGGTGATGGGTTGTGTGTTCAGCTCCTGGAAGTGGACCTCCATTTCCCTGGTGAATTGTACCCAGGAGCTTCTGTTGTAGTTGCAAATGGTTTGTGATGTGTGGAAGTTGGTGCCTTTGGTGGAAGGCAGTGTGATGATAATGGGTAAGTGGTCAGATGAGAGGTCTGTCTCTGCTCTCCAGGAAATCCTGTGTGATAGTGATGGAGCAGAAGGTGATATCTGGGGAGGTGGATCTATATAGGGCCTGATGTGGTATGTGCGTGGGAGTGAGTGTATTGTTTAGGATGAAGCGCAGGTCTAGTTGGTTACAGATCTCTACCCCTTGAGCAGTGGTGTCTTGTGGGTTGTACCAATCTGGGTGCTTTGTGTTGAAGTCACCTCCAAGGATCAGGTCTTGTAGTGTGTTTAGTGCATGGAGTGTGGGAGTGTAGCGGGCTGGTAGACCCAGTGAGTGTACTGGAGGAATGTATATGTTGATGAGGGTAATGTGCTTTTTGTGACATGTCTGGATGTGAAATGCCTGTAGGTCCATGTGCCTGTCTACTTGTGCCACAGCTCTGATATGCTGAGTTTTCTCCAAGTAGGCAACACTGTGGTGAATGTACGTAATCAATCCCCCACCCTCCCCATGTTGCCTATCCTGTCTGATGGAAGTGTATTTTGGGATGGATGGTGTCTTGTGCGAGTGCCTAAGCTTTGTCTCTTGTATAATGGCGATGTGAATTTTGTTGGAGTGCATGTATTGTTTAAGTTCAACATGCTTGTTGCATAGGCCATCAATGTTGAGTTGTAGGATGTTAAGGTTTTGATGGCGGGTTGGTGGTGTGTTGGCTTGTAGTCGACCGGGAGGGACTGGACGAGGTGGGGAGGGAGGCTCAGGCAGGGGGCGAGGTGGCAGCGGAGGAGCCGGAGGGCGCACCGGCACGTGGGGAGCCGGTGTATGCTGTTGGACATGCGATGCAGATGCGATGGTCACAGGGCGGCACAGTGAGCAGCGCCAGTTGCTGGTGTGGTGTCCAAGGGTTGGAAGTGAGGTGCACATGAGGTGGAACCAGCTTCCGCAACTGTTGCACGAGACAGATCTCCTCCTATCCCAGCGAGCTGATGTCACACGCTTGGTGCAGGCAGGGCAGTAGGTGATGGGGCCCGGGTTTAGCTCGATGTCACCACCAAGCAGGATGAGAAGGTACAGGGACCTGGTAGCCAGGTCTCCAAGTCCTCCATCAGAAAAAACAGTTGGTCCAATCCAACTGGGTAGTGCCTCCCAGGACGCAGCACTCTGGGGAGCCATCTCCCCACAGCTCCCCAGTGAGGTTGAAGTAGGGGCAATTTGGCCCTCCCAGAGGGGTCTTGCCACGACGCAGACGCCCCCCCAATAGCGCTTTGTGTGCTTTTGGGCAATGACTATTACCCAAGAACCTTGGAGAGTTCAGAATTCCATTAATAGGAGCAATGGTAGTGTGTAGAGTTGATCTTCACAACTAGAGTCTGAACCGTAATGTGCCTTTGGAACCCAATGTGCAGGATAGCAACATGTTGTGTTAGTATCTGTTTTATCATCAGATCAAGTCATCCAGATCTCTGTCTCTCTGTGTTGCCAGTATACGTGCTGTGTTACCAACTGTGTTTCACTACCAGCTGTGCCCCATCAGGTTACTTGTACAGGTAGCTTATCCTACTTGAACAGTTGAACTGATTGTCTAACTTCCTAGCATCTTCCTTGTGAATAAGTGAAGAGAAAAATGAATCTGAAAGATAGAAGAATTATTTTAACGTAATTAACCATAGATAAGTGAGGGTTTAACAATTGATCAACTTGTTACTTCATTTCCAACCTAGCACAAATAATAATAAATAATTGGCAGAATGTCAATGAACTTTGAAAATTTTGATGGTCGGGACTGCTTGATCAAAGCAGTGAAGTCAAAAAATGCTGAGAATGTGGAGGTAAGTGAAAATGTCTTGTATAATTTTCAGTGTTATCTTTTATTTCTAGAGAAAAGTTTTTTAAATCAAATTTTATGAAATTGGAATTTAAAAATGAAAGTAGCATTTTGAGTGTGAAATATCTACTTATACTACTAATTTAAAATTATTTTTAATTGATATAAAATGCTTTTATACAATTTAAATGGCCAAAAGAGTATAGTCAGATGGGGTAAGACAGGACCGAAATCACTAACAAGCCTGTAGCATCTATACCATGAATAACTAAAAAACCCTAAACCTATCACAAGGTGCATTTATGCAATGGGCTTCTAAGCTACAACTCAGACGTTTTGCATCTATCATAGTTTTCTGTACAGATTAAAAAAAGTGAGCTGGTCCCATCTTACCCCATTGGGGTAAGATGGGACCAGGCTGGGGTAAGACAGGACCAACTGGTAATTCTTATGTTACAAGGTTTCTAATAAAAGTACAATTCTGATATTCAATATTATCCATCTAGAAACACATTATTTGATTAACACGTTAACCGCCACATGTACCACCGGTGGCACAAAACAAGCTGTCAATGAACGCCATATGTACCACCAGTGGATCATTTACAAATTTAATTTCAAATTTGTTTTTCACTCATTTTTCATGGCTAGAAGGATGAATTATCAGAACAAGTGTCATAATTTATTTATTTATTAGCATAACTATTCAAAAAAATAGTTTCATACAAATTTCAAACGAAATATAAGTAAAGTTTCGTTCCGTAAATCAGTCGCTTCCTCAAACCTTAAATTCAATGGTAAAAAAGGAAATTCTTCAAATAATACAAATAATCCGCATAAATTGGTGATCATAATTAGTGAAATTACCTTTTGAAAAATTAACCATGAACCAATAATAGCATTAGACATCAGCCATTACATGTGAGAGTGGGTTCTTTCAAAACAACCAGGGCATAAATGTGGCTTATTTTCACATTGGAGGCAGACTGTTTTCACTCTTCTTGCTTTTGCAGCTGCAACTGAGCAGCCTTCATTTTTCGACAGCACCTCGTAACAGTCTCTACATCTTTTTCTTACATTCCGACATTGACCCTCCAATTCAACAAGGTAATGAGAGTTTCTCTTCCCACCTATAACAGCTGGTTCTCGTCCTGGGTTCGTTTTGTTCGAGTTTCCTGTTATGAGTGAGTGAGCAATAGATTCTCGGAATTCTTTCATCGACAAGGGTTTCTTGGTATGAAATTTGTTGAAAAGGATGTATGAGTTGACCATTGCAGTTCCCAATAGCAGTTCAAATGCGGCTTTCTTGTACCATTTTCAAACTTTACATAGGGGTGAATAATAGGAGGCCATCTGATCAGAATAGTCTACTCCTTTTTTGGCAGAATTATAATCCAAGATACATTGTGGCTTCTCTATTTCGGTGCCACGTTTTTTCACGCCAGTTTTTACTTTGCTTGCGGTATGTTCTGGAACTGTTGTCATCATCAATACATTCCTTTTATCTTTCCAGTTCACAACCTTGATACCTTCAGAATTTTCTTTGCCAGTTACTTCACCTCTTTTCAATTTTGCTTGTGTTACACTTTTAGGAAGTCCTTTTCTATTTTTTCGCAGTGTTCCGCACACGTAGGTTGATTTTTCTAGTAGCAACCGTGATACTGCAACAGAAGAGTAGTAATTATCTACATAAAGCGTCCTGCCTTCTCTCAGTAAGCCTTCCATGAGTGATAGCGTAATGTACTCTGAATGCATCAAGTTTCCAGAGGCCTCTCCTCTACCAGTATAGATGCGGAATCTCCAAGTGTATCCCTCTACTGAGCACAACTTGTAGAACTTGAAACCGTATTTGTGCTTCTTGTTAGGAATGTACTGTCGTAATATTGTTCTGCCCCGAAACAAAACAAGGCTTTCATCAATGACAACATTCTCGTCTGGTGTGTACTTTTCGAAGCTTTGGGATAACAACTGAATCAATGGTCGCAATTTGTACAATCGGTCGCTCTCGTCTGCTTGACTGTAGTCCGCAAAATGCAAAAATCGTAGAATCAACTCAAATTTGTTTCTTGGCATTGCATTTTTTACAATCTCTACACCATACATCTTATTTTTTGACCAATAACTTTCAATTTCTGGCTGCCTATTCAAGCCCATCACAATCAAAATACCTAGAAACTGCTTGATGTCTTCGGCATTCACTGGCTTCCAATCTTTCATCTTGGAACACCGTGTGATTGGGCTTTCAGATGCAGTATCATCAAAATATCTATTTGTTTCAGTGATGATGAGATCAATAACTTCGTCAGTCAAGAAAATTTTGTACACATCCAAAGGCTCAATTTCACCATCCTTCACCAAGGTATAGTGTCTTTGTTCTTGCGCTGTGCAAACAAAACCTCTGTTTTTAGCTGTGACATCGTGCCATGAACTTTCAGTAGCGTGGGGATGATCAGTACCATTAGACTCCACTGTGGGTAGAACAGCTGATGCACTTGATTCTGAATGTACTTGTGGGTCCAGTGTTCCTTCGTTTCTAGAATTGGTACCATCATCCGAATCTGAATCAGTGTCACTGGAACTTGTTTCATGCTGTGGAGGCTCAATGCTCTCATCATCACTATCATCAGAAGATGATTCTTTTCTTCGTCTGCCATAAAATCGTCCAGTTTCCATTAGTGGGTCTGTAAGAAAAGAAAACCAAATCAAGATTCAACATAAAAATTAGTTATCGTAATGCTGAGCAATTAGGAGTAGGGAGTGAAATGAATAAATAAACGTATGTATCAAAACTACTAACTGCAACTGCTCAAAAAATATTTTTTGAGAGCTCTAAACTATAACCACTGGTGGCCAATTCATTATGATCCAATGTTTACCATTTCTATTGTCGCAATATGAGCCACCGGTGTACCATAATCTCTTGTACCACCGGTGGCACACATGGCGCTGGAGAAAAATGAAGATTTAGTGAACATCCTTATGTACCACATGTGTCTCATGGTTTAGTCTGTACTAGAAGAAATTAGACAGAGAGTATAACACATACACACCTTCCCTTGCAGCTGTTCCTGACCAACTGAGACGTTTTGGCGCGTAGAAGTCTTGGCGCTAGGGGGAAGTTCCAATAATGCACGCTGGCGGTTAACGTGTTAAACAACCACTTGTTACTGTTTTGTGTTGTGGGAAGTCAACTCCAATATCAGTCACATTGGAGGTTTTGTCACAAGATAACTTTGTTGACATTAAATGCAGCCATATGATCCATTTAGTCTTTTGAGTAAAAAATATGGATGATATTATATAGCTGGCATAGTTAATTATCATTTTATACTTTACTTTTGCTAGCAATAATAAGAAGTCCAAGAAACTTGCAAGAAACTCCAGTATTTTAGCAATAATGCCTTATTCGAGATTGAAATTCTCAAAGAAATTTGGTGAGAGTGAGCAAAAGATGAAAATTTTGACCAAAATACTCCAGTTACTGCATAATAATATATTCATTTAAAAACTATTTTTGATATATTGTAGGGTAATAGAGGACCATTTGTGGGGTAAGACTGGACCATATGTGGTGTAAGATAGGACCGTTTGTGGGGTAAAACAGGATCATTTAGTAGTCCCGTCTTACCCCATGTCCGGTCCTTTTTTGTCCCATTTTAGAATACATGTCAGGCAGTGATGGTAGCAGGTAGGAATGCCAAGTATGTCTCAAAAGTTGCTTATTACTTGAGGTTACCTGCCTACATCCACAAACCTGGCCAAAAAATTTTTTGTCATTAGACAGAGCTTATTTCCCTAACAGGGTTAACTATTTTGTGACCCTTCTTCACATATGTTTTCTTTAAAAATTAGCCAGAAATTCAATATTTGCAGAAGAGGGATGAAACAAACATTGAAATGACAGGCAATGATTGCGCTAACATATTCTTTTGTCAAATTAAATTTAGTGCAATTAGAATGCACACCATGGGCTGGTCCTTTCTTACCTCATGAAGGCTGCGATCCTGTCTTACCCCATTTGACTATACCGCAAAGAAATTAACATTTTTGAAACAAATAAAACTATGAATATTGATTGTATGACCATCATTTAACACGTTGACTACGTATTGGTAAATATGCGTACCACGAAATATATTTCTCCAGGAGGTAGTGGTACATAATTCAGGTTGCCTAAAATCGGCCAAATCCGAGAACAAAAAAGGCCAAAAAGGCCAATGATTCAATGTATAATAGTTTATTTGTAGGTTCCGCTATAAATATTCCATTTATTTTCTTTTTTCAGTATTTAAAATTTAATTAGGAAGTACCCCTATCATAAATTTTAGCCGGCCAGTGCAATTGAGAAAAACTAAATCAGGGAATTTGTCCGGGAAAAAATGACCATCTGGCAACCCTGCTAAAAAAGTACAAAAAATGAAATAATAGTACAATATGAAGCAATCGTAGTCAACGTGTTAAGTAGAAAATTTAGAAATAGGAATTATGGTCAATATATTCAATATTAATCAGTTGTATCACTAGCTTGATCCATTAATATTAGCTTACTTATCAAAGAAAAATTTAGTTTAAGATATTCCAATTTAATATATGTGTACCAGTACCTGTTATTTAATATATGTGTGTCAAGCTTTAAAGCATGCCATCTCAACCTTAAATTGGCACATTTGTGTAGTTTTAGGTCTGATCGCAATTAACTGATTGTGCCATAAAGATCAGTATCCCTGTTCTGTGTTGATTGGTAACCAAGGTGTAATTTTTTAAATGATGGACCGCGTAGCTAGACAAGATGCCCCATTGCCTACAGCACACTGTAGAGAGACAAGAACAACAGAGCAATGGAGGAAGCTCCAAAATTCTAATTGCTGCTGATGTAACATGAGATTTGTTTCTGATTAGAATAAAATTTGGCTTTTGCTAAATTAGTTTTACTGCTACAAAATTTTTACAAAATGTAGGATGACTGTCCTGATTTACCCTGCCCATCCCTTATTACCCATTTTGACTGTAACAGGTCATGATCTTGCTTGTTAGTTGTTGGTTGAATCTTACAATATTATTGAGAGAGAATGTTGCCAACATGCCAGGGTATGTTTGTAACATTCTCTAAAGTACAGTATATCATCAATGTCAATCAATTATCAATTCCTGATGTCAGAAGCTCAGAAGCTGAACTCTATTATGAAACTGGCATTAATTCCTTGAGTGAAACTGCATACAGAAAATGAAGCAATTGCAAGCTAATACTTGAAATATCAGGCATAGATGTAAGACTTGAATAAAAACATGATCATCTTAAAAGAAGACTCTGATGATTGTAAACATGATTGAGTTTAACCATGATGTTGCTTGCTGCCATTATGAATCCTTTGATTGCAGACCTGTTGCAGAAACGAGAAGCTGCCTCCTTGCAACAAGCCTTTCTTGATTACTGTACATCAATAATTTAAATTAATGATGCATGAAAAACTTTAGTCAATGAAGAGCAGTCAATATGCAGTTAGCACATACGTATCAACAAGATTGGGGCTGTTGTTTCTCATTGCAGCCTTCCTATTTGACAGAAATATAAAGTTTTCAACAAATGGTTTAATCTTTTAAATTTATCATCAAATTTGTTTATTCTGCAGGAATACCTTTACTGTGAAACAACAGAATTTTGTTTAAAGGAAAACTCAAAGCTGCAACATACAATATAATTATCTGATAAGGTATTTAACCTATTAAATTCAAGAATTCTTTCATGATAAATTAATATTTTTTTCAGTTTGAATACTTTATTTGGTTATTACAAATCTAGTAAAACATTCATTTTACAGAAATTCTACATGAAACCTAAATTATGGTCTGGCAACTAAAGTTGCCACTCAGCAGTAAGTAAACAAATTTGAACTTCTATGTAATGTATGGTTATGATATTGACTAGGGCAATAGAACTAAATTTTTCACAGGTAAATTGAAGAAATGAAATGAATATTTTGGAATGATTATGATGTATTCATTCAGTATTTAAATCATTGATAAAGTCATGAGAAAATAGGCTAATAACATTTATAATGATAAACATTATTGATCACCATTGTGGTATAGAAGAATAAACATTGCATGATTAACTTTCATGCATCCTGGGTGAAGAGCAATAGTGCATAATTTGCATTTGCGTGCAGTCCTTCCTTTGCTGTTAAGACATTTTGCATACTTTGTTACCGTCAACCGGGGCTACTCGGGATGGGCGGGGTAACTCGGGACAGTCCTCCGATACAGCATAAAACTGTTTTAGTAGCAAAACTAATTGGAATATTGCAAAACTAAACATAGTGGCGTAAACGTCAACATTTTTCCTATCTATGTAGTATAATGGAAGTTAAAAAAAACTACATTTACTAGCTCTGAAAAATTCCTGAAAAAAATGATGAAAAATGATATTTTGAAAAGTTACTTCTGCTAAGGTCTGTAGTAAAAAAAATATTTGCCGTATTAAAAAATTTCGCTTAGAAAAAAGTGGCAGACGAGTGTCAGCATGGAAACTTGATTTGCGGAATTTACATTTCTGCACGGCAGGGCTACTCGGGACACCCCCCCCTGGGCTATTCGGGACACCCTCAAAAATGCATTTACAGCAGAACCTCAGTTAACAAAGGATCCAGTTAAGAAAAAATTGATTAAAAACAAAGAATATTGATTACATTTACCTTGCTCAGCAAAAAAAATTTCACTTATCAAAAAATTAGTGCATCATCGGTCATCACAAAATTGTGCATAGAATGTCATATATAGAATTGTGCACCAGGCATCATAGAATGAAAAGTAATTGACCTAAACTATGATTTATTTCTCCAAAATATATGATGGTTGTCACTAAAACATTCCTTTCTGTTTCAGGTATGTATTTCACAATCTTTTTTTATAGTAAATTCACTTAACACAATTAAAATGGTGTGAAATTACAAGCCATCCTGTAAGCTTTACAGATATAGAAAAATGCTATAAGGCTGCTGATATGAAGCTTGCAGTGGACAAGGTTGTTGTAAATGCTCAATGGCCTGTCCATGGATATAGTAATATCGCATCAATAATACAGTAATTAATGTATATGGGAATATCATCAATAAAGGAAAAACAAGTAAAAATCACAGAAAATGTCATTTATTCTACCTCTACATCATCTACAATGAAAGAGGAGGACTTCAGAGTACTGTTAGTGATGGATGAGTACACTCTGCATGCTTCAAATGTTTTAAAATTAAGTTTTATTCCAAGTGTCCGTATTGCCGTATTTGTCCCGAGTACCGTAAAATGGGGTTACTTTGACCGGCGGGGTAACTTTGACCACTTTTCGTTTTTTAACAAAAACCCCCAAAACTCAAAAACGATATGACATAGAAAATTTTGTCAATGGCCATCAAAGGCCTAATACTGAGGCTACGTAACACAATAGAAAGATTTAAAAAGTTTGCATATCTAATAGGTTAAAAAATTAATAATGTGACCCACAAAAAAGAGCTATTATTTAAAGCCTGTCGGAGTACCCCCTCCAATTTTTTTTATTTTTTGGTAAAATAACTCCAGGTTCTGATGCATTGTAGTAGAACTCTTCTAGTTACATATGCAAAAGACAAATTTTAGGAAAGTGTCATAGTTTGCAAATGGGGGGCGCTGCCCCCCAATGGGGGAACTTTGACCACCTAATGGCAGCCGTGACGGGGTAACATTGACCGGCTTGTAAATTAAGTTAAAATTACCATAAGTACCTATATAACATATTTTATGTTTCATACACCTATTAATGTTTTTTCTTTATGTTTCAGACTCTACAGAGTCTTATATATGGTAATTTTAACTTAATTTCCAAACCGGTCTATGTTACCCCGTCACGGCTGCCATTAGGTGGTCACATTTTGCCAATTGGGGGGCGGCGCCCCCCATTTGCAAACTATGACACTTTCTTAAAATTTGTCTTTTGCATATGTAACTAGAAGAGTTCTACTACAATGCACCACAACCTGGAGTTATTTTACCAAAAAATAAAATTGATTTTACCACCCGGTCAAAGAATTAACAAAGACCATCACTTTTTTTTAAATTACATCAAAACTATAAGAGGAAGGAGCCAGCAATTTATGGTAAGTAAAGCTGGAGTATAGACCTGTATTCTGCATGTTTCAATTTAAGTTTAA